CCTCAACTCCAGAGAACTTTCTCAGACTCCTAGAAGACTATTTCTTTCTCTTCGTGTGTCTGCAGAACAGTCTCTCCTGTCACCCCTCAGGGAATAGGTAAGGCCAAGCTGAGGCCCTTCTGTTTGAGAAAGAGGCCTCGGAGACTTCGGCGTTTCCCAGCTGGGGCTGGATTTGCCAGGGTCTGGTCCACATCGGGACTGTGGAGCTGGCAAGCCAGCTCCCACCAGAGAGCACTCTAATAAATCACCCCAACTCAGTCCACAAGCAAGATGCAAATACAAAGGCACTTCATCAAACTATATCTCATCGCTGGTTGCAAGGAAACGCCAGACACTCCTCAAACCTCATCAAAATTGCAATTCATTACAACAATGTAATTCCTCCTGATCAGAGGTGCAGACCATTCCGAGGCCCTTCAGGCCCATCTCTGAGTTAAAGCAACACTGGCTCAGGGAACTCCAGCACAGGAAAGAAAATTGAAATTGGCTGTCTCCAATCATTTCTTATAACCCCTAGATATGGTTAAGAAAAATTCCCGTTGCTGCTCGTAGAAAACCTGGAAAAAGGGCACCTTTGGCCCATTCATAAAGATAATGGAAATTCTAAGACTTAACCCAGAAGAGACTGTCTACGGCAGCAGTTAAGATAAAAGCCATGACCTCTCAGGGTTGGTAAGCCATTTCCTAGTCATGTGATCTTAAGAAAGTAACTGCGCCTAAATTTAAATGAGCTATTTATGCCATCTCCTTCACAGGGTTGTTGTGAGGATTCCGTGAGTTAATACTTGCAAAATGCTTAGACTAATGACTTGCCCAAACACAAGTATCTGTTAAAGAAATGGTAGTAACAGAAGCATCTCAAAATGCCTGGGTTGGGCAATTACATTCTTAGTTGAGGTCAAAGGACTTGGCACCATTCTTCAGCTTCTCCCAGGCCCAATAAGTCAGCCTGGTGGGAGGGAAACTAGAAAAGGAGCAGAGGTAGAGGTTCCCCGGATTATGCAGATCTGGGCTAAGGCCCAGGACACATCACCAAACTCTAAACCCCTTGCAACCGACCCAGGAAGGCAACTCAATGCTCCAGGCACCAAACACTCCAAATCAGCAGTTCCTATCTTTGGAGGTTGCAATTTTCTCAGAAAATCAAATTATAGCTAAAAACATAAAACCACAAAAATGCACATAAAATTTTGTAGATCATTCCCAGGGGTTTGTATATCCTCAATTTCAGGTACCCCAAGTTAAGAACCTCTAGTCTGGATGCTCTTCTCCAATACTGACATACATGGTTTCACTTAAAACTCGTAACACGTCGGTAAGGCTCAGAAAAACTAACTGACATACCCAATATGTGGGCAGAGAAAAGATGCAAACCCAGGTCTGTTATACACTAATGACTGTGCTTATAACCATTAAGCTCTACTGCATTCCCTTTAGACTAGAAAATGAAGCAAGAAAAGGAAAAATCCTTTTAAATATGCAATGTTACATTTTTACTAGGAAAAATTTTGCATATGACCAAAAAAGTTATTCTCTCTCCATTCAACAAAAATCTATGGACCACATGCTATATATGTGTAAACATATGCCATTTATATGTAGATATACATTTACATCAATATACAAATAGTCTACAGAGTACTCTATTCTCCATAGGATGCCGTGTAAAGTTTTCAAAACTATTTGACATGGGGTATGTGGTCACCATCAAACCACAGCCAAAATGGATACTAATGAATGCAAGTGACACATCATTTACTACTTTTCTAACTTTCAAGTCTAATTTGAGGCCTATGCTCATCATGCTGGAGATGGAAAGGAAAATACAGACTAACAATGAGTTTTGTTTTGTTTTGTTTTTTATCCTCTCCCAAGGACATTTTTCCATTTTTTGTTCAGATAGAGTGGGAGGGAGAGAGAGGAAGAGAGAAAGAAACATCGACATGAAAGGGACACATCGAGTGGCTGCCTCCTGCACGTCCCAACCAGGGCTGGGAACAAACTGCAACCGAGGTACATGCCCTTAGCGGGAACCGAACCTGGGTCTCTCTGGAGCATAGGCCGACACTCCAACCGCTGAGCCAAACCGGCCAGGACTAACAATGAGTTTTTAAAAGGACTTCTAACTAAATATCAGAAAGATAATCAGAGGCATCAGGGTAGCAAACAGCCTACCAAGTATGCTAAAGCAATACTGGAAATTAAATATTTTCCACACACCACCATATTCAGTTTGACCACACCCTTTGTCTATTGGGCCTCTGTGTGGCTCTGCCTAGGGAGTGTTTGCAGGAGTCTCCAGTAAAGTTGGGGCGGCTGACTTGGCCCTCAGTGTTATTGCCCTCAAGAGACACCTATTCTAAAGGTAGACAGGTCAGACACCTATTAAAATGGCATTGGGAGGTTTACAAAATGACAGTAAACACAATAGTAGGTTACCTCCCTCTGAGTCCAAGTAGCCAACTCACAGAATCTATGGGATTCTGAGAAAGGCCCAGGCAGGTTTCAAAGATCCTGGGCTCTGGGTGCCATTATTAAGGTTTCAGCTTCTAGAGAGGTTTGGCTCTGGGTAGATAGGTGGTGGGTGAGGAAATCAACAATGCACACACCAGAAAAAAATAAGTTTAAAGGTTTTACTCCTCATGGCTAACGTGATAGTAAAGTGATAGAAGAAATGCTGAGCTTTTTAAAAATAAATAAATAACTAAATGAAACATATCTCCCCTTTAAGCTGATTTCCTGAGCTACTGTCTGGGTTACCTTAGGAATCTTGGATCAGACAAGAAAGTAAATCTGAGTTCTCCTAGAAGCTTTATACCCCGTGAAAAGATCAAATATACACAGAAATGAAAAGGGATTTCTAAGACAACAAATAAGACAATCATAACAGATTTTAGCTCATTTATTCAATAGTTTGGAATAGGCAATACTCTTTAAATTTTTTAAAAGCCTGTAGACAGTTAAACAAGACAGAATTTGGGTGACTGCTGATAACAAAATTCTTACCCTCAGCAAAATCACTGCATGGGCATTTATTTAAAGGTATATGACCATAGAAAGGTGTGCTCCCCACCGCACCCCACCTCATGATCTAAAAGCATCCATTGGCCCTGGCCGGTTTGGCTCCGCGGTTAGAACATCGACCTGCGGTCCTGAGAGACCCGGGTTCAGTTCCCGCTAAGGGCATGTAACTCGGTTGCAGTTTGTCCCCGGCCCTGGTCGGTTGTGCGGGTGGCAGCCACTCGGTGTGTCCCTTTCACATCGATGTTTCTCTCTCTCTCTCTGTTCCTCTACCCCCCCCCACTCTACCTGAACAAAAAATAAAAATAACAAAATAAAAAAAATAAAAGCAACCATTGTTTAAAGGGTAGGCAGAAGTAAAGGAGTCAGACAAGATATAACAGGATTAATCAAGAAAGGCCACAAAGTAGGAGCCCTGCCTTAGCTAGAATCACCTGGTCACCTCCACCTCAATTTACTGGGCAACCTGACATCAGCAGGATGTTTACACTGTTTAGCAGCATGGCCCATTTTTCACTTTTCACCCAGGTGTTGTGGCATGGGGACAGATGTTAGGCATCATAGAAGCAAACATCCATGTGACCAAATTGTTTACATTTCATTAGGATTTTCACCACAACGGTGCAAGCCCAGCTGATGTACCTCTTAATTACAATTAAAAGCTCTATTTACCCCAGGAGTCTCCAGATTAGCACAGCCTCACAATGGGATCAGTTTCAGAATCATCCTCAGAAAATGTGGTTCCCACTTCCCCAAAAGCATCTCTAAGAAATCAAAGTGCACACACACACACACACAACTCCTTCCAGAGTGTTTCCTACCATGAAGATTATTGGCTAGGTTTTAGTAAAAACGAATTCTGAAGTTACAGTCTATGTACTGAATAGATATTTTCCCCTCAACTGCTATATAGCCCAGAGCTTTTTCTCTTCCTAAATACAGCCTAGCTAAAATGAAAGATGCATGATAAAAGAGCAGAGACTACTTATCCGAACGGGTTGGGCTGGGAGTGGGGGAGAAAAGAATCCAAGGGCTTCAGCACCCCCTCAAGGGATGCATGTTAAAAGTGAGGCCCAAGACCCTGGAGACTTTAATCAACTTTCCCCCTCCAACCTCCAAAGAATGAATCGGTTGTCTCCACAGGCGCAGCCAGGCTCTTCCCTCTCATTGTGTCCGGGCTCAGACGCAGCAAGGATCCCAGCTTCCCGCAGCGAACTAAGACGCTCCGGCTTTCCGTGGAGTCTTTCTCTAACTGTTGCAATTGTCTTTGGAGATTACCAAAATCAAGTATGCATTAGATGGCTTTTCCTCCCTTGTTTGTGGCACACACGCACGCACACGCACACGCACACGCACACACGTGCGGTCAGAGCACTCAGGAGCAGCAGGCCGCCTCTGACAGCACATTTTGCACAAAGTGGCGGCGGCGGCGGCAGCGCACACGTTGTGGCCTCCCTCGTGACCCTCCAGAAGGCTGAAGAGCCGGGGGCGGTGGAGAGGCGAGGCCGCCCGAGTCCCCGGAGGACAGGGCTTTTGTTTGGGTCGGTCTGCGGACAGCCTGGGCTCTCGCAGGAACCACCGAAAATACAAGCTCGCTCCTGGACCGCGCCTTCCGGGACGGCCGCTGTTTCGGACAGACTTGCCTGAACGCCGACAAGGGTCCAGTTGGGGACCGGGCAGACCAGCGGCACGGAAGTGCCCCATCGCCCCATTAACCCCGATCCCTCCACGCTGTCAGCGCTGACAACTGCGGCGGGGCGCCGAGGAAGGGGTGCTCGGGCGCACCCCCGGCCGCAGCGGGGTCCAGGGCAAAGCCTCGCCTGCCTCCCCGGCTCCCGGAGCCACATTTGCGAGACCCACGACGGGTCGCGGCCGCTGCCGAGGCAGGCGCGCTCCTCCTGTGAGCGCCGCGCCGGGCTGGCCGACGGGAGGCTGGCCGAGGGCCGGTGGGCTCGGGAGCCGGCGGACCCGCCTCTTACCTTGGGCAGCGGCCCCGCGCGCCGCCAGCAGCAGCGCGGCCAGCAGTGCCAGGAGCGGCGGGCGCGTCCCGCGGCGGCGCGGCCGGTGCATTCCTCCTCTGGCGGCGGCGGCTCCCAGGCCGCGCGCAGAACATCCACGGGCTCTGCCCGGGTCCCAGCCACCTAGTCCGGGCTGCTCTCCCCGCAGGATGTTGGGGGCGTCGGCGAAGTTCTTTGTCCCTCTAACCTGCTCCCTCGCCTCCGCCCGACAACTCGGGACCCTGTAAGCGCGGTCCCTCCCAGCCCTCCGGCTGCAGCCTCGCCTCGGCCGGCCGGTCCGCCCCGGACTGTCCGTGTCCCACTAGCGGAGGGCGAGTCTCCCCAGCTCGGACTCGGAGGAGCAAGCCCTGCGCCCGCGGGCTGTGGTCCCTGGCTCCCCCCGCGGCGGCTGCGGCGGCTCCTCCTGCTCCTCGCGCTCCCTCTCTTGCTCTCAGCCTCCCTCAACTTGTCACTTTCCACCAACTCCCCAGCCGGAGCCCGGACCAATGGCAGACGCGGGCCCAGGCCGGCGACCCAGCGCCCTCTGCTGCCGCCTCTCAACACCCGCACCCTGCGACTGCCCAGAAAGTTGAGGCTCCCGCGCGTCCCGCACGCCCACCTCCCCTCCCCCACCGCGCCTCAAACCTGACTGGGGACCTGAGACCTGCAGGCCCTGGGGACGATTTGACCAAAGAGGAAACTGAAGCCCAGGAACACTTGTCAGGGATCGCAAACCAGTTCGTGGCTGAATGGCTGAGTTAGGAGGCCCGGATTCCAGTAGTCTCAGCTCTGCCACTGTTAGCTGTGTGTCCCTGGTAATTGATTTATTCATATCATACAGTTTCCCTTTTGAGTTCCTCTTTTACCCAAGTGATTTATGTTTTCCCATTTTGTCTTTAATTTGTAGTTTCATTGCCTTGAAATCAATGTCATCTGTATTGCCTCCCTTTGGAGATTTGAGGATTTCTCTGTGGTCAGTTTTTGTCAATGTCCCACGGTCTCCAGAAAGAAGGCATTTTTTCTGTATTCTGAATGTGAAGATAGATGACTATTTCAATTTGATCCTCTTTAATTTATTATGTTATTTAGGCCTTGTGTATCTTGGCTTTTTTTTTTTTTTTTTTTTTGGTCCAGCTACTCTGCCATGGGCCAAAAGGGACATTGAAGTCTCCTACTAAAGGTATTTTTTTTTGTCTGTTTCTCCTGGTTTAGCTTTATGAATTTTGTGATGCATAAATATTCATGACAGTTGACTTTTCCTGTGGAGAGGGCCCTTGGTCATAGAAAGTGGTGAGTACCTGTTGTGTTCCAGGCCCTGCTCTAGGCTCGGAGGATGCCTGAGTAATAGAGACACTAGTTAGTCTTGCCCTAAGGAATACTGAGAACCCACAGTCTGTGGATCACTTATTGAAACCTTCTGTGTGCCTAGTACTTTGTGTGCATTTGCTCATTAATCTTCCATCGACACTTTATAAAAAGTCATTAAAGTTGTATACCACTTGCACTTTTACATAGGTTATCTCCATGTTACAGTTTTAGACATTGAAACGAAATAGAAAATAAGTGACCTGCCTGCAGTCATGCGGACAATGGGTAGCCAAGCCAAGACTTAGTCTTTTTACCATGATGGAGCTAAAAGGTCTTGGCTAGAGCCTGGCATATAATAAGCACTCGGTGGCGGTGGCTATTAGTACTGCAACAATGGCCTCTCAGAACCCAGCTTTAGGATTTGATGTCACCTCATTGAAAGCAAGCACTTCTATCTAGCCCAAACTATGTCCCAGCTGATCACAGACTCACAGCCCTCTGCCTTTAGGCAGGTGAATGACTAACCCATGGAGGACAAACAGTCATTTATTCTTCTCCAAGACTTCAGAGCAGGAGCATCCCTAACTGCCTTGTCAGCTTCCCCCTTTTCTATCACTCTGACCTGAGGTCAAGGAATGATAGACAGAGAGGCCTTGGGTCAACCAGTTCATTGCCCAACTAGGTCTGTCTTCCAAATGTCTCTGCCTGAGACCCATTTAATCCCATCTTAGTTATCTCCAGTTACTTGCCTGAGGAACTTACTGCACAAGGTTCTCTTGTTGGAAAACTGTCTTTGATGCTTAGCCACAATATACCATGGTCCAGAAATCAGAGGAAACTCAGTGACACTGCACATTGCTGAACAGTCTTCCATCATCTACAGTACAACGCACTGTTGCCAGACACAAGGCTTTCCCTTCCACCCCACCCCCCCCAGCCCCAACCTCCACCCCAGGTATCTTAGGTAACAGTGGCTGCCAGGGCTGAGTATACAGAACTTAATGGCACTTTTATCAGTACTTAAACCTTCCAGGAACTTAATCACAGAATCATAGACATGAGGAATGTGACAGCTGGAAAGGGCCTTGGAAATTAACTAGAATACCCCCCTCAACATTTAATAGAGGAGAAACGTGGGACTCAGGGGTTGAAAATTCCTTGCCCAAGGTCACACAGCTGACCAGGGCCAGAACTGGAACCTACATCAACCAGTCGAGACCTGGGAAGGCACTCCCCCAGTCATCCCAGATCCTATAACATACTGGTTCCTACAGGACAAGTTAGAAAAGGCTCTTTTTGTTTAAAAACAAAAACAACCAAAAAAAGGCAAAGGAAATACTTATGCAAGTTCAGTAAATGCCAGTGCGTAGGAGCACAGGCTTGGGATCAGGCTGCATGGTCTCTGCTGAGTGACCATGGACAGGTACCTTAGTCCCTCTCTGCTTCCATTTCTCATATGTAAAATCGTGATGATAATAAGAGTACCTATTGAGCCCTGGCTGGTGTGGCTCAGTTGGTTGGAGCATTTTCCCATACACCAAAGGGTGGTGGGTTCAGTTCCAGTCATGGCACATACCCAGGTTGCGGGTTCAGTCCCAGATTGGGGTGCGTGCATGAGGCAGCAGATCAGTGTTTCTCTCTCTCTCTAGAAATCAATAAAAAAAATATATCCTAGGGTGAGGATTAAAAATAACAATAATAATAATGATAGTAAAAAATCGTCATCTAAATAATAATAATGATAGTACCTATTGATACTCTTGTCTATCTCTGAGGTTGTGTGTGTGTGTGTGTGTGTGTGTGTGACATCTTCTCAATTTAGTATCATCAGAAGTTTACTAATAGGAAATTCAAGAGTGGTAAGGGATTGTTAGGAACACTAACACCAAGATTTTGTAGCATAGAAAACTTCTAAAAGGAAACATAGGAGAAAATCTTGGTGATTTTAGGTTTGGTGAAGATTTATTAAAGAAGACATAAAGCCATGAACTGTAAAAGAAAAAACTGATAAATTTGACTTCTTCAAAATTAAAAGCTTTTGCTTTTCAAAAGACATTATTATGAAAATAAAAAGGTAGGCCACAGACTGGGGTATAATATTTGCAAAACATACATCTTACTAGGGACTTGCAACTAGAATATACAAAGAACTCTTACAATTCAATGAAAACAAAACCACCTGATTTTTAAAATGGGCAAAATATTTGAATAACTGCCACCAAAGGAGATATACAGATGACAAAGAAACACATGAAAAGACATTCAATATCATTAATATTTATGTACATGCAAACTAAAACCATAATGAGATACCACTCCATACCTACTAGAGTGGCTAACGTTAAAAAGATGAACCATATCAAGTGTTGGCAAGCATATGGAGCAACTAGCACTTTCATATGTTGCTGATGGGGATATAAAATGGTATAATCACTTTGGAAAATAGTTTTGCAGTTGAAAGCTAAACCTACATCTCCCATATGATCTAGCCATTCCACTTCTAGGTGTTTACCCAAGACAAGTGAAAACATATGTCCATATAAAGACTTTCACATAAAAATGTACTATAACAACTTTATCTGTAATGGGTAAAAATTGGAAACAACCCAATGTCTACCAACAGGTGAATGGATAAACTCTGGTGTATCCATACAATGAGATATTACTCATCAATAAAAAAGAATAAATTATTAATACATATAATAACATGGATAAATATAAAAATAATTATGCTGAGTGAAATAAGCTAGTATATAAAAAAGAATATATACTACATGATTCTAGTTATATAAAATTCTAGAAAATGCAAACTAATCTATAGTGACCAAAAGTATATCATTGTTCACCTGGGGATAGAAAAATGGAAGGATGGATAACAGGCATGAAGATCTTATGTAAGTAATAGATAGGTTTATTATATTGATCGTGGTGATAGTTTCATAGTTGTATACATATGTCAAAACTCATTGTAGCATTCTGGGTCCAATCAAGAGACAGAAACCACACACTGGGCTAAACAGGAGAAATTTAATAGAAATAACTATTAACACTGATAAGAAAGTATAAGATGCAAGGAAATATATATGGTACCCTAGGGGTGAGGGAGAGTATTCCTAGGACAGACTTAAGAGGGGTTCAGACCTCATTAGCGAAGATATGGTTCAACCCAAGGAAAGCAGAGAAGTTGGAGTGCAGGCAGGAGAGAACAACTAATGGCGTGGGCCTGCGGTGGGAGTCTGGGTGCTGGTGTGGACAAGAGGTCCTCAGAATGTGTGGGCAGTGTGGGGTTGCAGAGGAAGCCGGAGCTCTGTGTTTACCGCCCCCCTCAATCCCTGGAGTCACAGTTGAGCTTTACAGATTTACAGGAGGAGCAGCTGTCCAGTGTCTGGCCCTCTGAGCCGCAGGTGACCGTAGGCATGCCCTCCTGGGGCTTTGGTTTTCCTGTTGAGAAGGCTGAGAAGAAGATTCTCATCAGGCCAAAGCTAGAAGGTAGCAGAGAGATCAGGTTCTGGACCTGTGTTGGGGCAGCCTCCCCTAATGTTCTCACACTTATACCACTTAGCCTGTACTGGGAGTTACAAGAAGCTTCTTTCTCCTGCAGTGGCCCTTCAGAGCCTGATACGGAAAAAGTTTACTTTAGCCCTGGCCGCCTTTGCTCAGTGGTTAAAGCATTGGCCTGCGGTCCGGAGAGACCTGGGTTTGGTTCCCACTAAGGGCACGTACCTCGGCTGCAATTTGTCCCCGGCCCTGGATGGGTTGTGCGGGTGGCAGCCACTCGATGTATCCCTTTCACGTCAATGTTTCTCTCTCTCTCTCTCTCTCTCTCTCTCTCTCTCTCTCTCTCCCTCCCACTCTAGCTGAACAAAAAATAGAAAAATGTCCTCGGGTGAGGATAAAAAAAAAAAGTTCACTTTAAAGGAGAAATTCCAGTTTATTATAGAGCATATATTGAATGGTGCATGCAGAACTGAGCGCAATAAGCTAATAACTGACATGCTCATCAAATCATACACTTTATTTTTTTATTATTTTATCTGTTTTGTTCTCACCCAAGGATATTTTTCCATTTATCTTCAGACAGAGTGGGAGGGAGAGCGAGAAAGAAACATCAGTTGGTTACCTCCCACAGGATCCTGACCAGGGCCCGGGACCGAACTTCAACC